TCCGAGGTCATAATAGAAGAACATGTCCAAATCGACTTGCCATGGTTCCATATAATCCTAATAATGCATTAATACCATACCAACAAAATAATGCATTGATTCCATATCAACAAAATAATGCATTAATACCATTTACTCCTCAAACATCAATAATGAATAAATGGAAAGTTCCATGGATGTCAGATATGGTAATGATTAGAAAACGTCCAACGAAAGGAAAATTATGTCAACATTGTGGTGCAATGGGACATAGAAATCGAAATTGTCCTATTAGAGCAGCTAATGTAGCTGTTAGAAATTTAAATAATATAAAAAAATCTGTGAAAAAATATTTTGATAATCCAACATTAAATATAAGATCATGTTACTGTTGTGGTGAAATTGGTCATAACAGAAGAAGTTGTCCAATAAATAGAGCTAATAGAGGTTATTGTATTTTTCGTGAGCATAGAAAAACTATTAAAAAAGGTATAAATGAATTTAGAAAATATTATGGAATAAATAGAAAACTAGTTCCTCAATTTATGCTACCTCAAAATTTTTTATCATATTAAATAAAATGAATTTAATAAAAATAAAAATATTATATTTATCAGTATTAATACAATTTGTAAAATGTCAATTTGTTTATTATCCATATTTTAATAATATACCTTATCATTATGTAAATATACCTTATCAGTTTGTTAATATACCATATCAACAACAATATATGAATATACCACAACAATCATTTATTTTTTATAATCAAAATATTCCTAAAATACCAAAAATACCAAGAAGACTTAGAATTCCAAATTATATTGCTGCATGTGGATGTTGTGGTAACGAAAACCATAATCGTTATGATCCTCAATGTCCATTTCAAAATGGATTAATACAACCATGTTTAAATCCTAGATTAATAAAATCAATTAGAGAATTAAGATTATGGTATGTTGAAAATAATAGACCAATACCACCAAATATTGGAATTGGATTACAACCACCAAGACCAAATCAACCACCTCCTGTACCACCTAGACCGCCACCAATTCCTCCAAGACCTAAAAATAATGGTAATAGAAATAATAATATTCCACTTAATGAAATAGGTTTACAAAATTTACAGAATCAATTTCAACAACATGATCAAAGATTAGTTAATTTAATTAGACAATCAGAAA